CCTTGATTGATTTACTCGGTCTATTGCCATTAATGGATTAATGACAGTACCTGCTCCCTCTATATCTTTTGACTCCATCAAATGTAATCTTAGACAAGTATCCCGTCCGTATACGTCCGCGCAAGCCCAGTAAGTTCTTTTCATGTCCTCTTTAGTGACTTTTACTATCGTTACTACCATTTCCGTGGGGATGTCGTTATACCTTCTTATCCTCCATCTGGACGTCCAGCCCCCCCCCCCCCCGTCTCATCTCTCCGTCCCCAAGTATATCTAAATACCTGAGCCCAGGAACAATCTGCCGAGGGAGCTGAACATAAATACAACGGGATCTTATAATCCCATGTTGCTTGCTTATCCGCTCTGATAAGATCCCTAATCCTAATTTTGAATCTTACTCCCCACCCTTCTCTGACTCCTATTTTGTAGATCACTCGCCCTTGACGGTCAGTATGTCGGGTCGCTTCCCCTTTATTTCTTAATAATGGTAAGGCCATAGCGTAATTGGTGCGAGGTGGTGGTGGATTTTGACCTACCACGACTATTGCCGAGACTATGATGCAGCTCAGGGTCACCCATATTCCCAAAAACCGCCAACCCTCTCCTGTCTTGAGTCCTTCTGCTCGGTACCACCCCATACTCACACCCTAGGAACACACTACAGTGATGATAGGTCTGGGTAGGAGATCTTCGTTGACAGAGGTGACCCCCGGACCCTGTGGCCCAGTTCCGCTCGTCAACTCTGCGTGTGCTAAGCGGTGCTTGTATGTGGTCTTACCTTCTTGCAGTGGGTAACATGGACCCAGGTTCCTCTCTCTGCTATTCTAATGGCCAAGGTGGTTACCAACATAACCTGATAGGGCCCTTCCCAACAGGCCTGCTTCCAGTTTTCCTTCTAGTGACTGGATGCTCACCAGTCACCTGGTTAGATAGTGGGTCACCTTCTCCTTTAGTTCACCTGTGGGGCACAAAACCTCTGACATACGGGTGTGGTTAATAAACTATCTTCACACATGTTCAGATTAATGTAAAAATGTCTGACTGCATTCTCTTTTTAGACTATCTAAAAAATGTTTTTTTTTTAAAGTATTCAGAATCAATTAGTAATCCAATCAAACAATCTCTTATCTTGTCAAAACACTTATGTTTAATTCAACAATTTTTCTCTAGTCCTTATCTACCTGATCCTATTGCTAAATCAATGATCTAGGCAATAGTTGTCTCGCCTTAGATTGTACATTCCTCTGATTACTGCAGCTTATTCCATTAATTTGGTTTCAAATATCACCCAATAAACCGTTCCATCCCACAGCATAGTAAACACCACCTATGAACTGTTGAAAATCCCCTAAATTCAACATAACAACCCTTTATAAACATCATGCTGGGTGTGTTTTTTATTTATTTGAAAAACCCAATTGAAAAATAACAATCAAAGATAGTTAGGCTCAACTTAATTTGGTAGCTCCCTCTTATGACCTAAATACTGCCTAACTTCATAAAATCCCTCAAAATTCCTCGAGAATACAATGATTATTTAATTGATTACTCTAAATCTGCTACATGTGATCTCATTTCAAATGATCCATTATCAATTATTTGATCCACCCCCTAGTAATATCTCTCTCCCCTTCTATTCTGGAGTTCTACCTCTACCAGCTATTACCCCTAGTGGCCATTAAATACTCAGCTCCCGTATGTTATTTTTCTTACTCTATCCTGTCTACTATTCCGCTCATGATGGATTGCATATCTCTTGACCTCGGCTAACGAAGTAGTTCCCCATCCATTCATATGCATCGTTGGACCTTATAGGTACCTCTCAAATAATCGCTTTGTGGTGTTTTTAGCCAATTCTTAATTGACACTAATCATTTTTTCAAACATTTTACCCGTTGAACCAAAAAAATTGACTGTCCTCCTCCTTTTCTTTACCCAAGCAGTCACGATGGTTAAATATTCCTTTGTTCCCGTTAAAGCATTTTCGCGCTTAAAAAAAACACACTTGCTGTCTCCAGCCCCTCCTTTCGCTGTTTTTTTCATCTAATTTTATATGCATCTGCCTACTAACTTTTTTACTTCGAGATGCCCAATAAATTCATACCTCTTCTCACAAATGGATCCATAAAACATATTTCTTCGATCTCTTCCTAACATATATCTTTCATCTCCCGTTAATTCTCGGACTTGTTTAGAAGATGTCTTTCCCATGGTGGAACAATAAGAAACCCCCCCCCCCTTTTTGTTTTTTAAATAATTCACTCCCGAATTATTTTAGTGGGAGCTAATATCTTAGTGCGCCTCTTGCTTTTGTAATTAACCATTTAAAATTATTTAACCCCTAACCCAGAGTTTCTATTTAAAACTCCGGTTTCATGAAAAGAGTAAGTTACCCAATTTTTCTCACGCAACTTATTTTTTATCTCCTTCCTTGAAATAATGATCACGTCTCCCGATGGATTAAGTCTCACACATATACGACCTTATCATTTGCCAAACTTGTTTGCAAAGTTCTAGCAAATGCCCAGTCGCATACGCTATTCCCGACACATCCATCTCACACGATGATAATTATTTCCCTGTTTATATTATTACACTGCAATTCGTACAATGACAATATTGACTTGTTTACATTTGTGATTGCAATTCACTCCATGTCATTTTGGACTAGTTTATTTTTGTAATAGCTATTTACCTAGGATCAATTGCGGACCCTCCCTGTTTCGGAATAATTATTACTTCCTTTGACTTTGGTAACTTGTCTGCCCTCTACAAGAATTCATATTCTTATACAAATTCAAATCATTTCACCAAATCCATGAATAAAATTACTGACCTTTTCCTTGTAGTTTGGATTCAAATAATTTTTCAAACTCGTTAACGTCTTTATCGTTCATAAAGAGTAATCACCGGCCTGTTTATAACCTTAACGTCGAAGGCCAGGACTCATTCACGGATGCTATCACCCGCCCGTGCACGGGTTTCGGTGTCTTCAGAACGATAAAGATGTATTTAAGCTCCGCTCAGAAGGACCAATCTGTCATGTGAATTTCTATCTCTAATTCAACCTAAGCTTGAATCATTACCAGAGGTTGTAAGGCTCTGGTTTTAATCATCAATGATTCAAGGTCCACAACTCACAAGTCTTATCTGTATTTTTATTCATGGGGAGAGCTCTGGGGCCAAAGACCCAAACATACGATTTTATACCTCCTGGACTTGACTCCTCCCACCTTTGTACCGCCCCCTCTGTTAGTGGGTTGACACTACATGATAATTCTAACATTTATACTGTATTTGGGGTAAAATCCTTTAGTCATTATTCTTAAAATCCAAATTAATCTAACATTAAGCAAACCAGAAGACCACATTTTCTTGTTTATTTTAATTTACGGATAGCTAGGGGCACGCTCCAACACTCAGACATCAATTACAAATGAAGCATGTGTTTAGTGAGTCATCAGATCAGAGGCAGTAAGGATGACCAGGGATGTTCTCCTTGATAAGTGTGTGAATCTTATCATTTTCCTGTCCTGCTAAACATTCAAAATGTAAAGAGTACTTTTGGATGTCAGGGAAAATGTATGGAGTAAAATGTACAATATTTATTTAGGAATGTAGTGAAGTAAAAGTAAAAGTTGTCCAAAATATAAATAGTAAAGTAAAGTACAGATACGCAAAAAAACAACTTAATACTTTCAAGTATTTTATTAAGTGGTAAATTGTTTGGATTAGTGTTAATCTCGTCAACAAAAATAGTGACTAAAATATTCGCCAAACACCTATTTTTCAGTGGGAATTACATAGACCATAGCCTAACTGGCTAAATAGAACAAGAACACACTATAGGCTCAAATATTATATTATTATGTAGGCTACTAAATATAACGTTAGTAGTATTGTTAGCTATGGACCGGCTTTTCATTAACACTTTGGCCTACCTTGTTTTCCATAAAAAGTTATGTTTGCTCTCTCGTGAGGCAGAACCAGGCAGGCAGGAGAGGAAGGTTGTCACTAGTTACCACAGCCACCACAATATCAAAATGGGCTATATTGTAAAAAATGTGTCTCTGTAGGCTGTACCTAGCAGACCACTGTGACTGACAAGTGAATCCACCAATAGCAGCGAGCATGGGGGTTAACGTGTGAAATCACAGGGACAGGGTTGTATTCACGTGACGAAACCGAGGAAAGTGGGCTGAAATTGGGGGATGTAGTATGTGAACTTGTCCATTAAGAAACACCTGCTTTCTTTTCCGTTGCGAAAAATTTCAATACGTTTTTCTATGACGGAAACGCGTTCGATGTGGCGGCACCGCCACACCAGATTGTGAAAATACTGGGGCAAATGCTGTCTCACCACACATTTTCCAGAAGCTCTGGTTTAAAATCTACCTGACAGATAGGACACAGTGTATTTTCTGACATTGTTAAGTCGAGTTTCCTTCATATTACGAAAGGTGTCCCATAGGGGTTGGTTTTAGGTCCTGTAATTTTTACTGCCTATATAAATAATATTGGTCTGTCTGCAAAAAAATGTAACATAAACCTGTATGCAGATGCCGCTGTTATGTATGCTATTGCCCCCACTGTTGACCAGGCTTTTTCGGAGCTGCAAACTGCCTTTGTTGCTTTGCAGAAAGCCTTTGTTCAACTGAAGTTGTCACTTTATACATTTAAAACCAAGTACATTATGTTTTCCAATTCACCTAAAAATGTATCTATGAATGCAACTGCCACTACACTGAAACCATTAGATACAATTTAGAACAGCACACTTCGCTGTATTACGGGTGACAGGTTCATTACAAATCATTGCATTCTATATCAGAAAGTAGGCTGGCCCTCTCCTAAGACTTGTAGATCAATACACTGCTCTCTTTTTGTTTATAAAGCCCTCTTGTGCAAACTGCCGTCATACTTTTGACTATTTAAGTCAATGTGTTGATATTGAGTCTCTCTTTCTCTCCACAGTACTCTGTGCAGCCCAGCATTCAGTCCAGCATTCAGCCCAGCCTGAGACTCGGCAGGTGAAAGGCATTGTGGGAAAGTTGATCTATTTTCCAGAGAGGGTGTTGAAGTCTGGCAGTTTACTTAATAAAGACCTTGGCAATATTGCACAGGTGTACCCTGGTAAACAAAGTAATACCAACCTTGTGAATAGATTTAAAAACCGCCTTCACTGGAACAATGTCACTGGATTCTTCACTTTGTCAGACCTACAAATAGATGATTCTGGGGTTTATACTGTGGAGAATGCAGTTAAAGATGAAGAGAAGGCGACACATACATTTCAGCTGACTGTGTACTGTAAGTGTGTGTGTATGTGTGTGTGTGTGTTGTCAATTACTAAATCATTAAAGTGGCACTCAGCAGCAGAAACAACACTAAAGTGGTCGCGTTATTGGTTTGGTAAAAAGCTGAGGAATGGGGCTGGAGAAATGTAACCACTCTCAAATTCATAGAGCTATGGTTGCAAGGACTGATCAACCATTATATAAGAAGTATAGTTTTAACCATGTTTTGTGACTATATATAGTTTGTTTACAATTTCTATGTTTACTAACACCGGAGTAAAACAAGCTTATGTGTTCTCTGACGGAGACTAAGCTCATGAGGCATTTATAAGTTATATTCTTCAAAAATCAATGGGTACATATAATTAATTTATAAGTCCAAAAATGGATGTAGCAACTGTTCTTTGCCACTTTAAAGAAGTTCCATTTCACCAATTCCCATTTATTCATTATTTTCTTCCAGATGTTCTGTCCAAGCCTCAGGTGACGGTCCATGACAACAGCTCCTGTAGCGTGGTGTGTTTTGTGGAGAATGGGAGAGATGTGACCCTGTCCTGGTACAGAGGAGGGAAGCTACTCAACCGGCGCAGCAGCCCTGAGCTCAACATCACCATCTCTCTACCTCTCAAGGTGGATGAACAGAACGGAGACTTTTACAGATGTGAGGCTGCCAACCCAGTCAGCAAGGAGACCACTGTTACAAATGTCTGTATAGAGAGTGATCCCTCCAAGGTGACAGGTAAAAACATGTACAGTAGTAATGTTAAATTGCTTATATCCAGACAACACCAAATTCAATGTGAAACAATAAGTATGGTAGAGCTCATTTTATGAAACACAATGTTTTAATTAAAATATTGTTTTCTCTCTTTTTATTTTAGATGTTGATGAGAGGACTCTAGGTTTTCTTATTATTGCTGTAATCTGCGTTTTGTTTGCCTCGGGACTTGTTGGACTTGCAATCTATCTAAAGAAGAGGAGAAATGGACACTCACAAGGCAGGTATTTATCTTTTAGCGGGGTGAGGTCATTCTCCTTGTCAAAGTCAAACCTTTTTCAATTATCAAGGATAGTGTTTTGGAAAAGGTAGAACATTTTTGTCTGAACAATGGATGCAGGTCAAATGAAGTGGCATATCTTCCACACTTCCTCTGCTTGGTCAGACAGTTACATTATCTCAGACCACTTCTCTAAATGTTGAAAAAGCAGAAGGCACATACACGCACACACACACTCTGACAATCATTACTGTATAGCTTCTCTGGCGGCAAAAAGACAGCTAACACAGACACAGGTACCCAATGTAACATGAGTCCTTAGTGTTTGCAGTACCTGTCTTGGGGGTGAGCATTTCTGCATATCTATCAGTTACTCCCACCCACATTGTATATTTCATTTCCTTTATTTGCCTTTATAGATTCACCCGGAAGAAAGCAAGATTACATTCAGTACACAGCCATAACTCACATTAAACCAGCAGATAACCAGGTTAGTGATAATGATACAGGCTGATAGACATAGGAGACGTAATACAGCAGCTTTTGCAGCACTCATGGCTACAACTCTAGGATTTAGTTCTGTGCCAGTAGGTTAATGTGGTATTGAGTTGCACAGACAACCTGAGTTTAATAACCTGCCTGATGTCATTGCAACCAGTTTTGCCCATATTATATGGTTGGGTTGCATAATGAGAAGCCACACAGCACATATTGTATTTACACTGAACAAAAATATAAATGCAACAGGTAGTGTTGGTCCCATGTTTCATGAGCTGAAATAAAAGATCCCAGAAATGTTCCATATGCACATGAAGCTTATTTATCTCAAATTTTGTGCACAAATTTATTTACATCAGTGCATTTCTCATTTGCCAAGATAATCCATCCACCTGACAAGTGTGAAATGACAAGAAGCTGATTAAACAGTATGGTCATTACACAGGTGCACCTTGTGCTGGGGACAATAAAAGGCCACTCTAAAATGTGTAGTTTTGTCACACAACACAATGCCTAAGATGTCTCAAGTTTTGAGGGAGCGTGCAATTGGCTTGCTGACTGCAGGAATGTCCACCAGAGCTGTTGCCAGATAATTCAATGTTAATTTCTCTACCATAAGCCGCCTCCAACATTGTTTTAGAGAATTTGGCAGTACGTCCAACCTGCCTCAGGAGTATTTCTGTCTGTGAAAAAGCCCTTTTGTGGAGAAAAACTCATTCTCATTTTCTGGGCCTGGCTTTCGCGTGGGTGGACCTAACTCAGTAAAATCTTTGAAATTGTTGCATGTTGCATTTATATTTTTGTTCAGTATAGTAATGCCTTTGATCTTCCCGTGTCTTGAACAGTATTTGTCAAGTCTGTGGACTTTTAAGCTTGGCTTCTTGGTTCCTCCCACTACCTTTAGGAATGGTTCTAGATGTGTGTTGTGTTGACTGTTGAGTTGCCTACTGCAGATCAATGAGACAAAGTATCTAATAATGAAACATATTACTCTTTTTTTTATTTGTCTTATTTTTTTGATTTCCTACACCTTTTCTCGCCCCTCCCCTCTCTGCCCCTCTTTCCTTGTCCCTCTCAATCCTTCCCTCCCTAACTCCTTCCCTCTCCCTGTCTAGGAGGAGCGAACAGCTATACCAGAACTGGATCCGCTTAGAGACAACCCTAACCTGACATCCGTTTATTATCACAGTTATATCGCATGGCGAACAGCGATGACGTTGACACTGCATGAAAGAGAGAGAGAACCGGAAGTTACTGAGAGGGTGACATGATAATTCACATCCAAGAGAAGGCGTTAAATCCTAAAGAGGACATTAAGACAAAATTATAGTAAATATTCATCTAGAAAACATAATGGAGGCATAGTTGTTACTGGAGAAAATTCCCATTTAACCATTGCACTGTTGTTATTTCAGACTTCCTTTGTTGGTCATTCTCAGTCTTTTGTTGAATTGGGGCCTTGATGAGATTCACTGACACAGACAAATTCAATAGCTATGCCTAGGGTTTTTAATAGGATTATCCCTCTTTTCAAGTGCACATTGTCCCAATTTATAGGTTAAAACAAATGGAATCTATCTTTTAATCCAATTCACTAGTGTGTTTGCTATGCTACTGCTGGGCCAACGATTATTTTCAGTACTGTCTGTTTTGTTGTTTAAATGTAGGTGCCTCAACTGTATCTTTTTATAGCTGGTCATTGTTAGTTTACCAGTGGATAGCAGCTGTGTACGTATCATAAAAAGCAGACGTTTGGTGAGATAAAGCCACATATTCCTTAGAGGCAATGGCTGTTAGGCTACGTTGGAAACAAAAAGTCAACAAGTTAATTTTTTCCTTTCACCATGTAGATCCTATTGAAACATTTCTGAAGGGCAGGTCTTTATTTGCCTTTTGACTCAGAAAGTGATCTTTGGTGACATTTTACTCATTTATTTTCACAAAATGCAGAAATGAGTGTAGTTCAGGTCTTGCTTTGACAACAACTGCGTTCATGCAGTTTGAATGTACAAAATTAACAGTTTAGTTTATTATGATGGACCATTTATTGCTTTTCCTTGTCTAAACAGTATCTAGCTCATCATCTCTTAATAATACAATCACTCCCTCCTGCACCCTCCTGCAGACACTCCTTCTATTAGAGCATTTTGTGCTCCAACTACATTAGCCCACATATATAACTGTGAAAAATACAAAATCTACTGACAGCCTCCAGTGTAACAACTCACGATGGTATTTCATTTTTATACATTTCTATTTCAGAGTAGTTACTGAGACTGAATATTATTATATTCATATATTATATTAAGATAATATAATTCACATTTCACTATTCTAAAATAAGCTTATGACTTATTCAAACTGATAAAGTGTACTGAGCTTCTTTTTTTGTACTGAGCCTCAATATATTAAGTCAGACTTACCCATACATTCCATACATTTCCTAATGTTAAATGGTCGTCAATCCCCCATAAATGCTTGAAAAATATACTTACCTTATCACAACCCAAAATATGATTTAAGTTTACTCCATTGTTTATATTTTTGTTGTCATTTGAGTTTTTGTAAACAAAGAGTATATTACTACAATAACTTTTGAAAACTGTTAGTCTTTGCATCCATAGCTGCAGTCAAGAGTTTGAGATCGGCACAATTTCTCCAGATTCTGGTTTTAAAGTTTGACCTAGATAGTTTGTTTATGTATTGATATGTAGGCTATGTGTGCCTTTTTTTATTGATGTTGTTCTGTCCTTGAGCTGTTCTTGTCTATTAATGTGTTCTGTATTATGTAATGTGTTGTGTGGACACCAGGAAGAGTAGCTGCTGCTTTTGCAAAAGCTAATGGGGATCCTAATAAAATACCAAATACCAAATGTAACCTACTTCTAGGGTCAAACTAGGAGGGACCACTGTAATTGTTTGGTGGTTTTCAAGTGTGTTACTCTATTTGAGTTTAAGTTTATTTGGGACGTTTTGTCCAGTTACTTTTAATGCCAGGCAGCTGTACATTTCTAATTTGAAAAGAATGATGACGAATCCTATTCAACTTCAAGCATTGCTTTCAAGGATTTTATTTTTTCTTCTTTTAATGTATTTCCCCATCTAGTGGTTGATCGTTTTTATCATCTAGTTGTTGAATGGTTTCATATTTCAGCATACTGTGACACTCTGGCTCCGGGACGTTTGTATTTGAGCCAGGGTGTATTTTGTGTTGTTGGGTTTTGGTTTGGTTATGTTGGGCAGTTGTGTGTATTTCTAGGTTTGCCTTTCTGTTGGGTTCATTTCTAGCTTTGGTCATTGACTCCCAATCGGAGGTAACGAGTGTCAGCTGTCGGCTCGTTATCTCTGATTGGGAGCCATATTTAATCTGTATGTTTTCCTGTGGGATTTGTGGGTTTTTGTTCCAAGTTCAGTCATTGTCACTGTTGGACTTCACTATCGTCTTTTGTTTTGTATTTACGTGCTTTACTTATTAAAGTCATTATGTTCACTCAACGCGCTGCGGATTGGTCTGCTCCCTTTCAAGACGGTCGTGACAGAAAAACCCACCATAAAAGGACCAAGCAGCGTGTCAAGCGGCAACAGGATTTATGGACGCCTATCAAGGATTCATGGACTTGGGAGGAGATTCTGGATGGAAAGGGTCCTTGGGCACAACCGGGAGAGTATCGCCGCCCTCGTGAAGAGCTGGAGGCAGCTAAAGCCGAGAGGAGGTGGTATGAGGAGGCAGCACGGAGTCGAGGCTGGAAGCCCGTGGGTACTACCCAAAAATTTCTTGGGGGGGGGCTTAAAGGGAGTGTGGCGAAGTCAGGTAGGAGACCTGCGCCTACTCCCTGGACTTACCGTGGAGAGCGAGAGTACGGGCAGACACCGTGTTACGCAGTAGAGCGCATGGTGTCTCCTGTACGCAGGCATAGCCCGGTTCGACACATTCCAGCTCCACGTATCGGCCGGGCTAGATTGAGCGTTGAGCCGGATGTCATGAAGCCGGCCCAACGCATCAGGCCACCAGTGCGTCTTCTCGGGCCGGCGTACATGGCACCAGCCTTACGCATGGTGTTCCCGGTTCGCCCACATAGGCCGGTGCGGGTTATTCCACCTCCCCGTACTGGTCGGGCGACGGGGAGCATCAACCCGGGTAAGGTTGGGCAGGCTCAATGCTCAAGGGGGCCAGTAAGCCTGCACGGTCCGGTATTTCCGGCGCCACCTCCCCGCTCCAGCCCAGTACCACCAGTGCCTACACCACGCACCAAGCCTCCTGTGTGTTCCCCGAGTCCTGTGCGTCCTGTTGCTGCTCTCCGCACTAGGCGTTATGTGAGTCCCCAGGGTCCAGCATGCCCTGTTCCGGCTCTCCGCACTAGGCCTTATGTGAGTCCCCAGGGTCCAGCATGCCCTGTTCCGGCTCTCCGCACTAGCCCTTATGTGCGTCCCCAGGGTCCAGCATACCCTGTTGCTTCTCCCCGCACTAGCCCTGAGATGCGTGTCCTCAGCCCGGTACCTCCAGTTCCGGCACCACGCACCAGGCCTACGGTGCGCCTCAGACGGCCAGAGTCTGCCGTCTGCCCAACGGGGCCTGAACTGCCCGTCTGCCCAAAGGCGCTTAAGCCGCCCGTCTGCCATGAGCCTTCAGAGCCGTCCGCCAGACCGGAGCCGCTAGAGCCTTCCGCCAGACAGGATCAGCCAGAGCCTTCCGCCAGCCATGAGCAGCCAGATCCGTCAGCCAGCCATGAGCAGCCAGATCCGTCAGCCAGCCATGAGCAGCCAGATCCGTCGGCCAGCCATGAGCAGCCAGATCCGTCAGCCAGCCATGAGCAGCCAGATCCGTCAGCCAGCCATGAGCAGCCAGATCCTTCAGCCAGCCATGAGCAGCCAGATCCGTCGGCCAGCCATGTGCAGCCAGATCCGTCAGCCAGCCATGAGCAGCCAGATCCGTCAGCCAGCCATGAGCAGCCAGATCCTTCAGCCAGCCATGAGCCGTCCAGCCAGGATCCGCCAGAGCCGTCCAGCCAGGATCCGCCAGAGCCGTCCAGCCAGGACCCGCCAGAGCCAGCCAGCCAGGATCTGCCATTGAGTCCGGTGCTGTCCCTTAGCCCGGTGCTGCCCCTTATCCTGGTGCTGCCCCTTAGTCCGGTACTGCCCCTTAGTCCGGTGCTGCCCCTTAGTCCGGTGCTGCCCTTTAGTCCGGTGCCGCCCCTTAATCCAGTGGGGTTTAGTTGGGGGGTGGTCATGTGGAGGAGGCTACGGAAGCGGATAGTGACTAAGGTAGGGTGGGGACCACGACCAGGGCCAGAACCGCCACCGTGGACAGACGCCCACCCAGACCCTCCCCTAGACTGTATGCTGGTGCGCCCGGAGGTCGCACCTTTAGGGGGGGGTACTGTGACACTCTGGCTCCGGGACGTTTGTATTTGAGCCAGGGTGTATTTTGTGTTGTTGGGTTTTGGTTTGGTTATGTTGGGCAGTTGTGTGTATTTCTAGGTTTGCCTTTCTGTTGGGTTCATTTCTAGCTTTGGTCATTGACTCCCAATCGGAGGTAACGAGTGTCAGCTGTCGGCTCGTTATCTCTGATTGGGAGCCATATTTAATCTGTATGTTTTCCTGTGGGATTTGTGGGTTTTTGTTCCAAGTTCAGTCATTGTCACTGTTGGACTTCACTATCGTCTTTTGTTTTGTATTTACGTGCTTTACTTATTAAAGTCATTATGTTCACTCAACGCGCTGCGTATTGGTCTGCTCCCTTTCAAGACGGTCGTGACACATACTGTACTGTGCATACTACACTATTTTGTACTCTGAGCCAGTGTGCTGTATATTGTAAGTGTAACTTAAATCATTTGTCAGCTAAATGTTCTCAAACCTTTCTATGCTTTTACGTTTTGACTGTGGTCATGCATTCTTGTGCCAATTGATATTTTATATAAAAACATGTCTTGTAAATTATGTTATTTTTAATTGCATTTGGTCAGAAAATATGAGTGCCTCATGTATCATTCTGTGCAAATTCAGATTGTTCAATGTTGGGAGTTCAGTGTTTTGTTACAGGAAATTAGTATCAAACCCAGATTAGCCATATATTCTTTCAGTCTGCAGTAGCATGGACAAGGTGGTCAGTACCTTTACATTTTCACTTTGATTTCTGATCTATAGCATTATGATCAATATGAACAACTCCTTTTGGCTCCCCCTAAAACAAAGATGTTTCTGCAGCCCACACTGACAACCCCTCCTTGT